ATCTAATGACAGAGATAAAAAGTGGAGGGGGAGGGAAGTTGAAAGGTTTCCAATGTTGATTGTAAGTGCTACTTCTGTCTTATTTATAAGTTCCAAATTTAGGAAGGAGTATAATCCATTTTATAAGTTTCAATTTGAATTTGTTTCAATATTTAATGTATTTTTTAATGTTATTCTAAATTATTTTTCTCTTGTCATATTTTGATTTCTCATACATTCTATTTCATTATTTTTCTTATTTATTATAAAAATATATTTCTAATTCAGTTATTATTTTTAACTAATTTTAATTAATTATTTGTTATTCAGTGACTTTTCTTTCCGATAAAATTGTCTCCTATGTGACCTTCCCAATTTATTGCGCTTTTGACGGACAAGGACGACCTAGTCAGTAGTCAATAATCCATAATCCATGAGAAAAAGACAAGGGTAAGGACGGCCCCGTCTTACACGCCATATGAGGAATCTGCACAAGTCTATCTAGTTTTTTTTTTTTTCCAAAAGAAAAAATCATTTTCTGGGTGAAAGGTAATTTTGTTCTCAAAATATTCACACACAAAAATTATAAATATATTAAAAAATTTATTCAATGTGGTCCTAAAAGTATTGAAAAATGAATGATATCGCCATATTTCAGTTAATATCAATTTTTTAACTGAAAAGGTGACAATATTGTTTTTTTTTTTATGTTTTTACTCTTCCTGGGTGATTTTTTTTTTTTACCATTCCTCCTAAATGATATTAAGTTTAGAAAAAAAAAATTGTAGATACATACAGTTCCTTAATACTATTTTTCGTACTAAATATAATAATTAGTTTGAGATTTAATTTGGTTCTGAATATAAAAACTTAATCTATTTTATTTTCCATATTTATTTATTTATTTTCTCAAAATAGTCCCCATTATGATTTTACGTGTTTTTTCCCACAATAATTATGATTACTTTTTGATCAACTCACCAAAATTATGATTATACAAGTTAGAGAATTTTTATTATTCTAATACAAATGATTAACAAAAGTATTTTAAGAAAAACAACACATATCTATTACAAATAACCAACTTAACTATTTTTTTTAATATTCATGAATTAGTTATCTAACTCTCATATTAAAAATTGAAGGTAGTAGTTTCCAACTAAAAATCACCCTTGACTTTCTTTTTTTTCCAGTAGGGTCTATCTATTCTTTCGGAACGAGTTTCAGTGCGAAGCGGCTTGATAAGCACAAGGAGCTCATCACCGCAACGCACCGTTTCATTAAAGTTCGAATTGATCTTCACCGTTGGATGATGAGCAACATAAAATGCTGAAGGTGTGGGCGATTTCAATCCTCTCTCTTCGTTCCCCCTTCTTCTTCGGCATCATCTTCATGTGCAGGTAAACACCTGATCAATAATCTCAGCAAGATGCTTCAGGAGGTGCCTATAAAGAGTAGGTTTTGAAGGATCTTGCTTGATAGTTGGGGTGTAAAGTGCTGCGACTTTGACTTCTCTGACTTGAAAAATTCATTGCCTTGATCTTTTAGAGACATTTGTTTTTTTTAATTTAGCTCCTGCTTCTGCTGAGACAGTCGCCATTGGTATTTTTCCTTTTTTTTTTTAATGAAAAGGCAAAATGCATTAATTAAATAGAGATACAGATTTAAAGGTTCACTACACTAGAAAAAAACAGGACTAACCGAAGCAGCTACTTTAAAAAGATCAAAAGTAAAAGTCTAAGAGCTGCAGAAAGTCCGAGACGATAACATCCCGTGATTGTGCTTTGCGGCAGATTGAGACTTGCTTTTTGATTGAGAAAATATCCCTTTTTTTTTTGAATGGCTGCCTCCTGAAAAGGAGAGTTGGTATCCAAACCAAACCTGCCCTTAAACAACAGCGGAGGAGGTTTCTGTTGAAACATTCGAGCTTTCCCCAGGGGACTTCGATCGAAGACTGGCCCTGGTATTTTTCTTCGATGAGGAAGAGAAGCGAAAATTTGGAACTTGCATATTATTAAAATAGAAAAAAATAGAACTTGCCTTGAATGGAGGGAACTTCGTTGACTTTATCTCAGAGAACGACGTCGCATGGCAATTAAATAGAGGGAACTCGTCCTTGACTTTGTTAAAACGGTGCGCATAAATGATGAGCTCTCAGTGCTCACCGTCTTGCTTAGCACCGAAATTGGGTCCCATTTCAAGGTGCTTCCATTTATATAACAGAAAAAGTGTATTGTTTATAGTGAAAAGGAGAGCAAGCCACGGAAACATCTAGTGTGCATAATTAATGAGCTCACATGACAGATAATTAATACTGGTATTAAAATAAAACCAAATCTTGAAGACAAGAATAAACAATACTTAAGATTTATATACTACCTTCAGTCTTAATTATAAGATATCATTTATAAACTATAAACGAGATTTTATAATTAAGACCGGAGATTATATAGTTCATAATGTTAATACCTAAAATGTTAAGAATAGTTTGATCAAATATTATAAAAATGTATTAAGACTAATAGTAATACTGATATCCTTTTTCTTATTATTATTGCCTATTTTTCTAATAAGATAAGAGTACTGTTTTTATTCTAGGGTAATAATTAAAATAGAACACACTTATACCATTTTGAAGTAAAATTATAACCTTAATAAATATGGTAAATGTTTGTTTAAATATTATAACAGTACTCTCATCTTTGGCCAACCAAAAAACTCCTATCAATTTCTTTTTAAATATCAATTGCCAGCCATAAGAGGTATAGATTATGCGAGCTAATTTCAGCCAAAAGGACCATGTGAAATGAGGATTGGAACCCTTTAGTTGAGCTTTCTCATTTAAGTCTCAATTAACGGATATTAACTATTAGATGCCCTCTAATAGTGTTGACATAAAGATCTTTATTTATTTTTTTAAAAAAAAAATAAATTTGTAATTCCCTCCAAAGTTATCAAATTCATGAGTTTAAATACACTTGTGATAAATATGTGAACTCAAATTATAAACTCGAATCATAAAATTGTAAAAATTTACTTTTATTAATAAATTAGTATTAAAAATATAAAATTAAATAATTAAAATATAAAAAATAACAACAATATTATTTACATATATTTTAAATCCAAATAATTGAAATTAAATTTATTAACGTTCACAATATGCCATATTTAACAAAAAATTTTTTTACAAATTCATATATATATAAAGTTATTAAACATAACCAAATTAAAAAATTAACACAAATTTAAGTGTAAGGTGACATGATTTTATAAGCTGGAAACGTAAAAACAGTAAACTCAGTAAGCAAACTCTTAAGTTTAACCTAGTTTATAATTATCATGAGTTTAAGAGCAAGTCGATATAACTTTATAAGCTGAAAATTTTAAAATATTAAACTCGGATAGTCAATTCTTTGAGTTTAACAGCAATGATCCCCCCTCAACACTATTAGATATCATGATATATATGATGATTAATATCTATCAATTAATTGTTTCACCTGCGAAAGCCTCTATTCAGGGATCCAAATTCGTGAAATCAAATAACATTTATACGCATTAAAAAGATACCTCCACATGATCTGACGCATGCTACGTGGGGTTAACTCAAGTGGTCAGAGTGAGGTGAGGTGTAGATATAAATATACAATGGTCAAGAGTTCAAACCTCTGAATTTTTTTTGAAAAAAATAATCTAACACACATTAAAGTAGCACCGAATATGTTTATAAAATAGCGAATAAATACCGAATATGGTCAGGAGTAATCGATAAAAGTACGATTAATAGCTCAGAAGAGTATATCGGGCCCAAAAAAAAAAAAAGCTCATAAGAGTATAAATTTCATTGCGAATGTCAGAATCTCAGTGATAGGTATTCTGCAATTACTTCTCCAAACATTCTTTTGAGTTTTGAATTTGCGTTTATCCAAGGCACCTAAATTCTTATCCTGTTTAAAATAAAAAAAAAAGACAGTATCCTTAGAATATGGAGGGGTTAAGTTTCTGGTCCAGTCTTCGTATATTTTTAGGATTCCTAGTATTAGAATAAAACAATCCCAAATTCAGCTCTTCGACTATCGTTCAACCTCAAATTCCAAAAACACATCCGTATCCATTGACCTAACTTCCTAAACCATTATTCTTCTTATCATCCATGGATCAAAACTGATTCTCCTTTTCGTCCATCCGTCTCCAATTAATTTTTCCCAGAAAAAGTAAAAGTCTAAGGCTTAGATGATATTCAGTTTGTGACAAAATATTATCATCATCATAATGATCCCAATCAATCACCCTAAGCCATATGGCCGTTGTCTTCACAACAGCTTCTGATAAAAAAATTACATCCCCATGGATCTATAACATTCACATTATTAATCTCACCCCAACAAGAACGTTGTTGTTGTTTTGTTCCTGCGAAGCAATCTGAAACCTTCACTTCATCTAAAGGACAAGAGATTTATCTTCATCCATGTTGTCTTGTAGTTCCAATCTTGTTTTTGTTTGTGTGTTTCTAGCGTTTGTTGGTACGAGTATTGGTGTGGATGGGAATTTCAGAGAATATTGACACTCTTTTCGGAGAGAATAGAGCCAGAATCGAAGATGAAGGCAAAAGCTTATTCCAAACGTTGGATCAATATTCTGGCTCCGACGTCGTTTCCAAGAGTGAGTTTTTGTTCGGAAGATTTGATGTGCAAATCAAACTCGTCCCAGGAAACTCAGCAGGAACCGTCACTGCTTTTTATGTATGCATAATTATAATGATACGATGTTTTACTTCGTAACATGAAGATGTTTATGTATGTATGTATATGTATGCGCCTATATGTTTTATGGATTGGGATTGGTTTGGGAGGCTAATTAATTTTGGTGTGATTAATGTTGTGTGCATGTGTAATGTACGAAGTTAAGCTCGGAGGGGCCACACCACGGCGAGATAGACACAGTTCCTAGGAAACTTGTCGGGAGATCCTTATCTGTTGTCCGCTAATATTTTTGCATGTGGCGAAGGTGGTCGAGAAATGCAACTCTACCTTTGGTTTGATCCCACTGAGGACTTCCACACTTACTCTATTGATTGGAACTCTCAACGTATCATGTAAGTTACATTATTAGTGCTCCCATATCCATCACAATAGGTTCAAACATTGCATAGAGTTTCATGTCATACGTAAATAACATTCTTAATCTTTGAAATTTCACAATAAACTTTTCTGAACATTTACATTATATTTATGCAAATAACTTCATATTGTTTAATTATTTGCAAATGAGTTGAAATTTAAGGGGTATTGCGTATAACTCAAAGTTTGCGTGGATTGTATATGCATACAAAAATAAAGTTTAAGAAGTGTAAAATTGATTAGTTTGAGATTAATGATCAAGTTGTAAAGGATAAAGAAGTTATTTGTACATGGTTTTAAATTTAGGGAAGTTTTATATTTTAGCCATATTATTAATGACCTGTTAATAATAGAAGTCAATTCTCTAATCATTTTGTATTAATAACCACCCAATTAATGAAAACCTTGCTCTTTTCATGTGTAGTTATTAAGATTGTTTGCAAAAAAATTATAAATTTGAGAAACCATAAAGATTGAGGTTTTATATTTAGAACCAAAACAAATACTATGATCAATTCTTATATTTAAAACCGGAGAAAGTATACCAATCATTCTTTCTTCCTTCCATTCTAAGCATCGAATTCGGGTGTGTCTGGATTTTCATGTGCAAGTGTATAATTTTTGAATTGAATTTGAATGCAGAATACTAGTGGATAATACTCCCATAAGAGTGATGCGAAACAGACATGAGATTGAAGTGCATTTCCCTACAAGGCAACCCATGAGGGTTTTCGCAACTCTTTGGAATGGAGACTCGTGGGCTACTAGGTGGGGGCAGGTGAAGATCGACATGTCCAATGCTCCGTTCATTGCGTCCTTCCGGAACTTCACCGCCGGGGCCTGCACGGTGAGCCCAGAGCCGTCATGCCGGGGATTCAGTGTAGCCAAACAGACCAAAGACATAGATCCGGAGAACAAGATGAAGATGCAACAAGTGCAGCAAAAATGGGTGGTTTATGATTATTGCCATGACTTTAGACGTTATGCTCATGGGCTTCCCTGGGAATGCCGCAAAGCCAATCTAATACCTCGATAAACACATACCTTATTGCAAACTATTCATCTGATCTTAAATATAAAACCCACTTTATATTATAATGTACATTAAAAATTAGATTTTATATTTAGAACCGGAGGAGTATTTGTTAATTGTTACTTAAGGAGTGTATATTTAGTTGTTTAATTTTACATGAAAAAATTTCTCATTTTAATTCCTTAATTTTATACGTATTTTTTTAGTTTTTTTAATCTTAATAATGTTAATAAAAAAAACGGACATCAAAATTTAAAATATATATTGAGAAAAAAAATCTCAAATACAGACATGTTAAATTTAATTTTTAAAATAATAATGAATGTACCAAAAGATTATTATTTAAAATTAACTGTGCTAAAGTTAAATGACTATAAAAGTATGCTTTTTTTTAAATTAAAGAATCAAATTAAAATTTTATATAAAATTAGAGAACCAAAAGTTCACTTTGCTGTATTTTACATACATTTTTTAAATACTGAGATCCATATATATGTGTGTGTGTGTGTGTGTGTGTATTGTGATCAATTTTTTAAACTGTTTCTTACTAAATTATTCCTGAGGGATCGCAGCCTTGCATGAAAGAAAAACATGAGCGTTGGTTCAGGAATTTTTTTAATTATAAAAGATCAATGAAAGTCTTCTTAGAGTCCTTCTAACCACAATAAAAATTTTAAACAGAATTTTTCACCATTTTTTTAAATAATTGTCACTGCCATATTTTGTGCAGAAAAATCTTGCTTTAAGTAGCGTGCTCAAGATTTCCACCCGCATTTTGAAACCACTTTACAACTAATTTATCTCCTGCACATTTTCTTCTCTAACACAAAGCTTTAAAAAGCTAGTTGTATATTTATGAGTAGTATAACGAAAATTCTCAAATCCCCTGGCCCCCATATATACTTGCAAGTGATCCTAGCTAGCGAGGAAATTGCTCTGTAAAAGTAAGTTCATTTCTTGATTCTTCAGCAGATTGATCTCCAGATGATGATGATGGAATAATATCAATGCTTGGCATGCTTGTCCAATTATAAAAGGATGGTTCTGAAGGAACTGGGATGGTACAGGAAGAGCTACTTAGCAACGTAACAGTGGAAGCCATTGATGGCCTATGAGCTGTGTTTACTTGAAGGCACAGTAACCCTATTTGGATGCATCTCATCATTTTACTTCTTGAAGAGTCTCCTTCTTCAATCAATAATGTTGGATCTACAATATTTGCCAATATTCCTTTTCTCCAACTTTTCCAAGCCTGCAAGAATTATTTTTTTAGTTGTAGAGTTGTGGAACCCAAAAAAAAAAAAGAATGATTATTCAAAGATGATTCAAGTATTGATAGAGGGAAATACTTACAACAGTTCCTATATGCTCTATGTTCTCCCCATTGTGGAATTCACCATTCTTTTGGCCACTTATAATTTCTAAAACCAATACTCCAAAACTAAAAACATCTGATTTTGTTGAAAAGATTCCATGTTTTACATATTCTAGTGCCATGTATCCACTGCATGTGCATGTCAAAAGAGAATTAGTATTTAAACTTAATTAACCTAATTATAGCTCTAGCGATAGTATATAATCCAGAATATATATAAATTTACTAAGTCCCAACAATTTTACTTGTGTTGCTTTGAGTTTGATCGATTGCAAATAACCTTGCCATACCAAAATCTGAGATCTTAGCATCCATGTCTTCATCTAAAAGTATATTGTTTGGCTTCAAATCACGGTGAATGATCCGTACTCAAGAATCTTGATGGAGATAAAGAAGACCTCGAGAAATGCCTTCTATGATTTTGACACGTTTTTTGCCAATTTAAATATGATCTCTTGATTGGGTCTGCATTAAGTCATGGACAACAAATTCCATGATTTAAAGTAATAATCCATTGAAGTAAACTTACCCACGTGAGAACCTTGATACGAATATTTTAGAAATTTAACCTCTTCGAATATATATCGATTATTATGATCTAGAAATTAAAAGACAGGAAGACATGGAAGATTAGCATTAGTTAACATACCAAAAATGAAGTAATCAAGGCTTTTGTTAGGAAGGAACTCATAAACAAGAAGCCTTTCTTCTTTCTTATGACAAAAACCAAGTAGCTTGACTAAATTCCGATGCTGTAGCTCGGCCATTAGAAACACTTCATTCTTAAACTCCACATCACCTTGCCCAGAATTCCTGCTCAACCTTTTTACGGCAATCTCTTGTCCATTACACAACCTACCCTGGAATTATATATTAAAAGAAAAAAGCGCACACACGAAACTAGACCATTGAGTTTGAGTAATGCAATGCATGGGGGGAATCTGACTTTATTGTTATTTCTTATAAAAACATCTTAATCATATACTCCACCGCTCTTAAATAAGACCAATTTTATAATGTAATTTATATTATAAAATGGGTTTTGTATTTAAGACCGGAGTAGTCTCACTTAATACACACACAATTTAGTATCTCACCAAGTAAACAGCGCCAAATCCACCTTGTCCAAGCTTATTTGCATCAGCAAAATCATTTGTTGCCATTCTGATGGTTTCAAAGTCCATTCGCAATGAGTCAGCAGCATCCTTAGCTTCAGTTATATAAGCATGGACGGTAGTATAGTACAGGGAGTTATGATTAATTATTAATAACTATATATCAACTACATATGAAAATATTTTCCTCTAATAACTAATTTGAAAAATGAATAATAATTTTTCGACCTTGAACTTGGACAATAATTATCATTCAATCTTAAAATTCAATTAAAAAAAATAAATTATGTATTTTGAATTATTTCTGCAGAATATACATACATTTTTATTTACTTTCAAAGTATATATTTTAATCTAAATTTAAATTTTTGACAAAAATAGCATTAATAAAAAAATTGGTGATTTGACTTTTCAATAAAATATAAATAATTAATATATAAATATAATTTAATCAAATTGTTGGCAACCGTGTATTTAGTTAAGACGATATATACTTGTATAGAAATATTTTCATATGTTTCATGTTACTCCTACAGCCCTAAATATAAGACCCTTTTTGTAGTATAAATTATAGTACAAAAAGGGTCTTGTATTTAGGAACGGAGGAGTATAATATTATAAACATGAGACGTTGACTTACTTCCAATTTTATTGGGTCTCCTCATTGGTTTTAAATATATTACAACCATGAAGACGAGTAAGGTGAGTCCTGCGGTGAAGGCAACAACCGCGGCAATCCTTGATGACTTGTTTCTCTTTCCTGCACAAAGCAAAATTTGCACTTATATTTGCGACAAGTTGATCCTGATAAGTTAAATTCAATAAATTTTCCAAAAGGAAATAAAAAAAGAAAAAAAAAAGCTTTGATATATGTCTTTTAAAAGCGTTACGATATTTTGAAATGCAAGTCCCCGTGAATTATAAGGGGTAACAACCGTGAATTATGACGGGTAACAAACGCCACTGCACAGGCATATTCTCATTCTCGTTGGAAACCTGTTTGAGACACTATTTAGTATTAGTTGTGAACTTTTTTTAAAATGGGGATTCTAATATTGGTTCGCTATATTGTAAGAGATTAATCTCTTCTGCTAAACTCAACCCTCTTTAAGTGAGACAAAATTATTTTCACACACTTTTTCTTGTTCATAATATAAGAAGTCTTCTAGAAGAAAATTTTAATCCAAAATATAAGATGTTGACAAAGTAATTAATAATAGTTTTTTACTTTTACCTCTCATTATATTACATAGAGGGGAGAGCTTTAAATGCAAGAGAAAGAGAGGAGAATTTTAATTTTGGGCCTTACATACTCCCTCCGGTCTATAATATAAGATGTTGGTTAAGTTTTCTCACCAAACAAAAACTATAGGCAGTAATTTGCAATTTTAGAATTATATTCTCCTGATCTAGTTTATTTTTTAAAAAAAAAAGCCTTGATCATATAAGTTTACCTTGTTTGAAGGTGGGATGAGGCAACGGTGACTGCACAAATGGTTGTGTATTATTGTACGCAGAAGCCTCAAAGAAGCTATTGGCTCCAAATCTAATGTAGCAACTGGGTCGGACGACCTGACCACCTCTCTTTCCATCACAACATTTAGAAATATTAGAGATTGCCCCACTCAGGCGAATGTCACAGTCCTTGTTCGACAAGTCCGGTGTGCACTGTGCAAGGCCGTATATGGTTTGATTCCCGGGCCACTAGCATTCGCCACCGCAAACTTCCGAAGCGAGTCGCCAGAAGCAGCCCTTTCTCTTAGATAACTCATCATCTGCATCAACACATTCTTGAACCCATCTTTCTCCAAAGCATCAGAGCTGTCTGACGAAGTGTAACCCCCAAATGTTTCCATCACACCAAATATCGATCGGTTGGAGTATTGACAAACTCAATTATTTTTATATATTTTGATATCTTTTATATGTGTTTTGTCAACTTAATTAGTCCTTTTGGCTTTTATTGATTATTAATTGATTTAATATATTTTATTTTGAATTATTATTTTATAGGGGCAAAATTGTCATATTTTAGTTTAATTGTGACTAATTGATTTTTGAGGACAATTAATCCTACCTTATCTTTGAATTTTGTTTGCAGGTTTTTTAGAAGATTTAAAAATAAAAATGAAAATAAAAAAAAGAAAAAGAAAAAAATATAATAAAAAAATAATTTAAAAAAAAGGGAGCAAAATGTTGCGTTTTGCCCTCCAACCTAATATACTATTATTCATCTTCTTCATCCACGGACACACACGAGCTGAGGCGGAGACCGAACGGGTTGGCTGGCAGCAGAGGAGGCGCACGCACGAACCAGGGAGCAGAGGGCCGACGGCGCGGAGGGAGAAGACGCGGGGAGGCGGAGCAAGCGTTGGGAGCAAGCTTTGGACGGCGGCTGAGACGAAAACAGAGGAGAGGACGCAAGCGGCGCTGAAAACAGAGCTGAGGTGCGGCGGACAGAATGAGCAGACGCAACACGCCGAGGAAGCACTATTCATCATCTTCATAAAGCG